AAAAAATCGCTATTACAGTATTAGTACTATAATATTCCCAACTATTTTTTAACTATTTTTAATATTTTAATGTAATGTTATGTATATTATATGTGTATATGTATGTATATGTATTTAATATAATGTATATATATTATAATATAATGTTTTTCCCTATCCACCTAGTCAAAACGTCCTGAAAAGTTCCTCTAAAAGTGGGGGTGGCCGCATATCCCGGTGCAAGCGGCCACCCTGTCGAAAACCGGATTACACGTGGCCGGTAATTGGCGCATGGTGACCGAAAGCAGGGAAAAATTACTCTTCGACGTATTAAATTTTATTTTATTACTGAAATTGTTTTGAAGCATTGTCTTTAATTTTTTATTAAATGCTAAATGTTTAACCTTTTTGATAATGGCATCACAACAAGCAAAATATTAAAAATTATTTATATGAGAGTTAAGTAAATTCAGAAAATGCGTTAAGTGGCCGACAACCGGCGCAGCCACCCTACTTTGACAGATACATAACCTGAAAAGCCTTAAATGACAAATTATCAAAAGACTGCGTTCCGTACGTGATCACGTGGTGGGACTTTGAAGTGTGGAGCATAGTACATAACAAAAAAATAATAAATTACCAAAAACACAAAAATACTAAATTATTAGTCGTGTTTGTCGTCAGAGCAAACCAGGTTAGACTTGGAGTCTGATTATTTTCCCAAATTTATTGCTAAGGGCGCAATGTCTTCGCAATCTATAGATTGCGAAGACATTATTATAATAACTGTTGGCGTTGCCAACAAGCCTTGTTTGCACAATGCAGGAGTAGAATATGATAAACAATGTATACAATTATTTATAATAATCTGCAACAAAAATTATTTTTGAGCAAAAATGTCATATTAATAATAGATGGGTCATTTTCAAGAAACACCCGCTTTCAGGAAAATGAAGATCAAATTTTTTTTTGCTTAAATTGACTTTTGGTTGGATTTTTATAAATGTTTAGAGTTTTGTTTACTTACATTTAAGACAGGCAGTGCACTTTTTAATTTTTTTTTTACGTTTTTTTCAGAAAAATGTGTTTAGCTAGCTTTATATGTCTCCACTGTGTTACCAATTTGAAATCCAAAATTCAATAAAAAAAGTTGTTACAAAAATAATTTGAAATAAAATGTACTTAGTTTACAAACTTTTGACTCCAATTTTATTTTTATTAAAAATTGTAGGTATGCCTTTTTTAAATATTTATGTTAGTTAAGTTACTTTTTAAAAGACACCATTCTTTGTTAAAAAAACATTAGTCACTGTATTAGTGAGTTAAACTCTATCAAGTGACAGTAAAATCATTTTAAGGATTTTTTTTAACAAAAACTAAAAAAAGTAACGAAATAGACATTGGTATCACAACGGACTGGGGTACAAAAAGGACTTAATCAGATAACGTAAAAAAGAAACTATATAGGGTGGTATACGATTTTAGAGTAATGCATAAACAAAATCCCTTGTAGTGGTGCTCACTTGCAGAATAACAGATTAGATTTCTAAATTATAGACACCCGTTTTCTTTGACTATAAGCTGGTGTCTTTTAGTACTTGTATATTGCGTGGAATTTTCCCTTGGATGTAATCTATATCATGAGTTGTAATCACAAATAATTTTAAATTGTTGTATCATAAACTACTTTTAATAAAAGCGACGGTAAATATCCACTTTGTTGTTGAAAAATTCTATTGCGTTACCCTAAATTCCATTGCGTTACCATAAGGTAACGTAATGGACTCGGTAACGCAGTGGACAAAGTTTTGTGAAACCATATTTAAAAAATAATAATAAAACATTACAGTCATTACTCTCAATGAGCTTTAGTGCCCTAAAATAAACATAAACATGAAAAATAGTATTTTTCTTACCTTATTTTTTTGAGTAACTTAGCGGACAAACAATTCGCGCTACCCGCACCTGTTTCAACCGATATCTTCTTCCTGATTAAATAAATACATTCAGCTGGGTAATGTGTACATCCGAACATGATTTGTTAATCACCTGAGTGCCAAAAAAGTTGCCATATATGTTTTTTTAAATATTCCATCGGTAACGCAACGGACGTAACGCAAAGAAAAAATGTCTGGGACATGAGTCAAATTTAAAAAAGTCGATTAAAATTAATTAATTTATATATAAATTGTTTACTTTATTAACTAAGGATGTTATGGATTGCTATAAAGCAACACAAAGTTCTGGTTATTCAATATTAAAAAAAAACATGTAGGTAAGTATGTAAGTTTTATTAATTTTTAACAAAGTTATTGGAATTCTGGTTATTCAATATTTAAAAAAAAACATGTAGGTATGTAAGTTTTATTAATTTTTAACAAAGATATTGGAAGGCGGAAGGCGGGTGTTTTTTGAAAACGACCCAGCTATCAATTTACCTCAATCAATTTAGCTGGTACCTAGGTACCTAATTTTATTTTAAACCTTGGCGTCTAGCCGTAAAGCTAGACAATTTTAGTAACACGTGTACCTACTCTGTTTAGTCAAGAATTACTAATTAAAATATGCATATTTTAATTAGTAATTTTTGACTTATCAGAGTAGGTACACGTGTTACTAAAATTGTCATGAAAAGTCATATTTAACTAATTGTCAAAGCGAAATACAGTCACTAATAATAATTAGTCAAATTAGATTCAAATTTAAAAAGTTGTCACTGCGTTGTTGAGGTTGTCCAGATGTTTTAAATTAAAATGTATTTTAAAATAAAACATACATAATAAAAAAAGACATGGTAAAAGGGCCGCAATCTCTTTAGTACGTCCTTGGACCAGCCTTATCTCCCAGAATGGGATGACCCTATAAGGATGCCCAGGGGACGTCCATAGGTCAACCGTTTGGGATATCCTGGAGATGTCATTAAAGGATGTCCTTGGACCAGCATTATTGTCCCAGAATGGGATGAAAATATGAATTAATTATAAATAATTATTTTATTTACTTAATAGGTAATATTTTTAAATAAATAAAGGGGCAGATGTTGACTATTTCCGAATGTTTCCGAACAGTTACAATTGAGCATTCAATTGGACTATATTCCGTAACTGTACATATCCGTAAAAGTTTATATTTCCTCCTCTATATTTGGTTCTTCAGCGGATATCTAAAAAAATCGTAATAATTTTGAAAATATTTTTCCGTTCTAATAATAATAATAATAATCGTTTATTAATCCAACAGACAAACGTCCATACAAAGGATATACATTATTAAATACAGTATAATATAATTTTAATACATTTTAGGGTAAGGCTCTGATTTTACTATAGTATTATAATGTATTGGTTTAAAGACAAGTTAATACTGTATTATAATATAGTACTCTTGTGTTGCACAAACTAAATAACTTGTTTATTGTCGTGACTTTCAAAAAAATCTCCAATATTCATTTAAAAAACAACACTACACAAACACAAATATAACCCATAAACAACGATAACTGCTAGTTAATTCACTATCTGAAAATATTTTTCCGTTCTAATAATAATAATAATAATAATCGTTTATTAATCCAACAGACAAACGTCCATACAAAGGATATACATTATTAAATACAGTATAATATAATTTTAATCAGGGGCGGCTAGTGCATAAGGGCTGCAGAGCTGCAGAACTCCCAAAATTTTCTTATTACTTGACTAATTTTTTAATTATTTAATATTTAAGTGCGACAGTGTATGAATATTTCAAACGCATGGCTGCATAAAAAGTTTTTATTATAAACATTCGCCGTACTTGGCCACTACAGTCATCCAAACGACCGGTAAAGGTCTCTAACGCTTAACGCTTACAATACAACAAAGCTGGGCCACTTTCGAGTTCTGGATCCCATTTCAATACCGTAATTTTGCTCCGCGCCGCTCTTGGTCCTAGGTTGAGATTGTGAAATTTAAGCCAAACCGGAGCTGCACCAACATACAGTTCCTATTTCCCGGTCGTTTGTTTTTCGCTTCGCGTGCACGTTTGTTATTTTGACTAGAAGACTGTTAATTCGGTGTATTTTTGTGTTTGTTGTTGTATTCTTTTGTAAGAATGAATGTGGTGTATGATTTAATTATGATTTAATTAATTAACTGTAGGTACCATTTAATTAATTGCCCACTGCGCCACATTTTTTTAAACCCCACTGGCAGAACTCACAAATTTTACTGCCACGAGCCGCCACTGATTTTAATACATTTTAGGGTAAGGCTCTTATAAAAAAATATATTTTACTATAGTATTATAATGTATTGGTTTAAAGACAAGTTAATACTGTGTATACACTTGTGTTGCACAAACTAAACAACTTGTTTATTGTCGTGACTTTAAAAAAAATCTCCAATATTCATTTAAAAAACAACACTACACAAACACAAATATAACCCATAAACCACGATAACTGCTAAATAATTCACTATCTGACAATTGCAGCTTTCAGTTATATCTACTTCCAGTTATCTTAATTTAAGTTCTTAGTAAAGGTAGTTTCATATTAATAAACAGTTTAGCTTTAATTTTATTTACCAGTTTAGACACTTAACTGGACATTGATAAACCGACCCTTAATGCAATTGGTACTGCTAAGATTTTTCCTTTCACCAGGTTCGTTTAAAACAAGTTGTATGAAAAATTAATAAATTAACTATTTTGTGACTTGGCTCGTGGTCGTCTTACCCGAATTTGGACCTTTACGTCGTGTTTACTCACATTTTTTTACTAAATACATTGCTTTAGAAATCATACTTAAAAGAATGAGATATACAAAAAATAAAATACCGTGTTTAGTTAACCCCAATTTAATTTACTTTATTTTTACAAACTTTTACAACAAGCAAGGGGTGGCAAGTCGGTAAAATTATAAAATAATAAAAATAAAATATATACCATTCCAGTAAAAGTAAAAATATTATAATTAATTATTCAAAAAAATGTTACCTACTTAAAAAATATGCTTTAGGAAATGATACATTTTGTTTTAGGGGCTGATTTCTTTAGGACAGATAGAGGTGGGCTCATAACTTTTCATGGACCTGGACAATTAATAGCATATCCTATTCTCAATTTAAAGCATTTTAAACCCAGTGTAAGGTGGTATGTTTGCCATATAGAAAAAACGATTATTAAAGTTTGTAAGGCTTTTGGACTAAATGCTGAAACATCTCCACATACAGGAGTGTGGATTAATGATAATAAGGTAGGTACAATGAGATAAAGATAATAGGATAGATATTACTAACATAATAAAAATACATTATTTTTTTTATACAAAACTTTTGTACTAAAACTTAAATCAAATACTCAATACTTAATATTAAAAACTTTCGTATAATTTAGCTATATATTTTTTTAAAAGGCATCAGAAATATGTAAGTATTCGTGACAATTTAATTATTTGTTTTATTTTTAGGTTTGTGCAATTGGCATACATGGAAGTCGTTTCGTAACGACCCATGGTTTAGCATTAAATTGTACTACTAATTTAAAATGGTTTAAGCACATAGTTCCCTGTGGTATTGAAGGCAAAGGTGTGACCAGCCTCTCACATGAACTAAACAAAGACGTGTCAATAAATGATGTGTTACCAACATTTCTGGATTGTTTTGCTAAAACTTTTGATGCTAGATTTATAGACTTTCCAAAGAATGAGGCCGAGGAAATATTGAATAAAATTGACTCAGAATAAGATTTTGTGTAATTAATAATTTATATATTTATACAAATTATTGTATTGTTTTGCTTCCAATTAAAGAAAAAGTAAACTCCTTTAAACTTTAAAAAAAATTGAATTTTACAACTTGTATTTGAATAATAATTATACATGTTTTTATTTTATAATTCGAATCATTTAATACTAAAAACCTTGAAAACCAAAAAGTTACTAATAAAAAACAATATTTTTATGACAAAATAAATAGAATTAAAAGCCGACATGTCCACGCCGGGCTAAAAATAAAATTTGTTAACCAATATTAAGTAAAACCGTAGTTACCACATTTTAGCTTAGCACGACATGACTGCTTTTGATTCTACAGGATTATTTATTTGTATAAATTGTTACATTATATATGAAATATATTATTATTTTTATAAATGTTATAGAATGTCTTAGTAATTTGTTGTTGTTCTCACATAGGTGACTCCAGAAGGCATTGATACTCTGTCTACTCCACCAGGGAAAAGTTTTTCTATTTCATTTTCTTTTACACTAGGGAGTATCATTACTTTTTCCCCAGGCTAAAATTATAAAAAATAATAAGTCAGGTATTTAAGTTTTCTAATTATAAAATGATATTTAATTTAAAGAAATTTTTTGAAAGTATAACAAAATGTATGATGTATAATTGTTAATATTTTTTTTGCCATAAATTGTATTTTTATTATTTTACATTTAATTAATACACCTAACTACCTAAAATTTTTTCCAATTAAAAAAAATATATTTTCGATCTTATAGTTTATCTTATAATGAATAAAAATGAATCGGTGAAAATAAGAACAGTACAAGTCCAAAATTTGACATTTTCATCTGAAATAGCCATCTTGTTTTAAATTCGAAGCGGCATCAAAGGAGTAAAAGAACATTTTTAAAACCAGCTTGTTAAGGTATTTGTCAGAGCTAACTGTGGAGCATTGAAAATAAGAACAGTACAAGTTCTGAACTGTTCTTATTCCCAACAAATTTCCTTGTTGATTATGGACCTCATAGACATAGTAAAAGTTTGAGGTGGCCATGCTCATGAAAGCTGTCAGTTCCCCAGTAGCACAAAATATTGGTCCTATATATGGGGCGCGTCTATGCCCAATATTTTATCTGGGGCCAATATTGAATTTATTTAGCCGATGTTAGCCCAATATTGGCATAAAATGATAATTTAATATATACTTAATTGCCAATGTTTATCCAAGGTTGGCCCTATATTGGCATATTATTTTACGCGAATATATCATTAACTATGGTAAACGAGGCTGTCGGATTTCTAAAAGTGATATTTAACGACACACGTTTGTTTCCAGGATATGTCTATACTAGTGGCGCAGGAACGGTTTTAGGTTGGGGGGTGGCGCAACCGACTACCATCCTTCTTGTTTAGCACCAAATGGGTGAAGATAATAAAGGCCATTCTTGCACATTACCGTAAGAATAACAAGGGTAATTTGCGATTTCTTGTCTTATTAGCAATAAAATTCGTTATTACGTTAATAAAGGTCAAGCTGATCATTTAAGCAGCATTTCATCGTAATTAAGAATAACATAGACGGTACACGACTTGTCTTATTGGTATATTTTTTCAAAGAATTTAGGTTACATTTTATATCAAGTAACCCCCTTCTCCCCCTTATTATTTGGGTGGCATTGTCACCCGCCCTCCCGCTTCTACGCCCCAAGTATAGCCCATTATAAACATTCCCTGAAATCAAACGATCGTGACATATGCCGTTTAGAAATCCTACTACGTAGTAAGTACTAGGTGGCTATCTTTTTTTCTTTCAATTTCTCCCGCAACTTTCTTAAAATATAATGTAAAACAACTTCGCCAATGCGGATTTCCAATATCGGTAATATAATGTCAAAAACTTCGGGCCAATGTTGGGTTTCAATATTGGACCATGCTAGAAAAAATCTGACGAAAGATATTTTGGCCCAATATTATTAAGAATATTGGGCCAATATCTTTGTGCTACTGGGGTTGGTATTTCATGTTGTTTAAGTGTTAAATATAACAATGTCATCATCTGATACTTGGTATCGCTAGTCTACTAGACTAAGTCTATTGACGAAAATGACACAAGACAGGGTGAGAAACGTAGCAAAAATGAAAAATTAATAAAATAAAGTTTTCACGTCATTTTGGAAAGTTGTGAAAGAAAAAAGAACTGGACCACCATGTTATGAAAAGAAAATAAATGGTATAAAAAATATAATGAAGTAGGTACAAAAAGGGAGAAGACGTAGAGTTTTACTATCACGTAATTACTAATACGGACGATGATGCCGGTATCCAAAACTGATTATTTAATATTTTTGTTCAATAAAATGTTTTTTGTTCGAAAAATGCTTTTTTTAATAAAAATGCTTTACCACATCGTGATATTATTTTTTTAAATTCTGAAACAAAATTCTAAATATTATAAGAATTCTGTGTCAGAATTTTATTGAGATTAAGAACAGTCCAAGTCCAAGTGTATTTTTTGTGTATAAAGCATGCACGTAGTAAACAAAAATATGTTTATAAACATATACTATAGTATAGTGGACGTCTAAACTCATACACAGCTTGTCTGTACTTTTGAACCTGAAAAAATCTTAATAAACAATATAAACAGTTTAGTTTGTTCTCTTAAAATTCAAACATGGACATGTACCTACTGTTTTTATTCTTACCGATTCAAATATACTTACCACCCAATTGGCTGGTGTAGCAATTTGTGGAATTTTGTCCACCAGTTGAAGAGAATCAATAACTCTTAAGATTTCACTAAAACAAAAATCAAATCAAATACACTTTTCTATAGAAAAAATGACGAAAGTCACTCGTTATGGTTATTTACTTATAGGTTATAACCAGTGCGAAATGTGATACTTTTCCGCTCTTCGGTAATGAGTCAAGACACTTTCCACGGGCATGATATAAGATGGGAAACATTTTATTTTAACATTAAGAAACAACATATTTTTTAAATTATATGATAACTAGGTAATCTAATTTGTTATTAGTGATATTTTTATTGAAACTGCAATTCCTTGCGCTTTGAAAGATTATTGCCGATGCTAAAGGGCCAGATTATAAAGGAAAGTAATTGCGTGCGGAAAAGTGTAACTTTCCGCTTGGTATCAGACCTTATTTAAATAATTAAGTTTTTAAGTATAAAGGTACACGAAACAAACTCATAAAAAATGGTCGAGATTTAATATTTTTTAATGCGGTTTTTGTTTCCTGTTTTTATGATTAGGTAAATAGGATCGATATTTCAAACTTGATCCAATTTGATCCCAAAATCAGGTGACAAAAACCGCATGAAAAAAGATAAAAAAGAATCGATCATTTTTGATAAGTTTTCAGAAGGGTACACTGAGAATAGCCTAAAAAAAGGAAAAATTGGCAAAAAATTCTATTTTTATGTAAATTTTTTTTCCAGAACTGTAAAAAACACGTTTATGTAAAAACTAATTGTCGATATAAGAGCGATTCTATGATTACTAACGGGACAAAAAGAAAGAAGACTAAATGTTTTATGAATATTTTTAAAGATATGTTGTTCCTATAACAATAATTTTATGATAGTTATTATTAATTAATTTTATTGCTAAGAACTATCATAAAATTATTATAGAAACAACACATCTTCACAAATTTTTGTTTTCTTTCTGTTGGTCGCGTTAGTAATCATAGAATCGCCCTAGAGATCTTACAGGTTAATGACTTCTTTGTTCAAATTTTCAAGTTGCTTAAAATATACTTAAGGATGTAAAAATTGGGAGCCCAGGTATTTTCTTTATCCATATAAAATGTCGAGTTTATCTATGAACATTTAAATTTTACTTACTCCACATTTCTTCCCGTTGAAGCAGGATAGTGCATTGACAGTCTTAATTGATGTTTAGGATCAATTATATAAAGCGCCCTAACAGTCAAAGCATGATCCTCGCTATCCTTATTATTCTGATCAATCATATCGAGTTGCACTGCCAGCTCTCTTGATTCGTCCGCGATTATGGGATAGGGGAATTCCCCGGGAATGTCCAGGCAGTACGATTTGATATCGTTGACCCAGTCCACGTGGGTTCCGAGCTTGTCACAGGAATGAGCGAGCAACTTGACATTTCTTTTGGTAAAATGCGGCTCGTGTACGGCTATGCGACCCAGTTCTGTTGTGCAAACAGGCGTAAAGTCGGCAGGGTGGGAAAATAACACAACCCACCTAAAAAAATTTAGGATTAAAAAATGTGTTTGCTTCAAATTTTTAAAAATTGTGTCAGATTTCGTAATATCAGCAATTAATGGCTATTTACTTACCATGGGAGGAAAATTGTGCTTTTCCTCCCGCGAATAGTTTGATGCCCGACGCGAGGCGAAGGGCATTAAATATTCAAGGGAGGAAACGCATTTTCCTCCTGAGGTATGTAGGTATATAGTTTTTTCTATTACCTTTTAACGGTTTTAAGACATTTCTGTGGGTAAAAGGCATAAGGGGATAAGTCAAAAAAAGCAATTTTTTAGTAGAGCCTTAAACGTATTCGCATTAATTCAGGAAACATATTTATGGTTAGCGGGTATACCCTTTTGTTAGCCCATGTCATATGCTAACAAAAGCGTATACCCGCTAAACATAAATATATTTCCTGAATTAATGCGAACACGTTAAAGGCTCTAATGAAAAATTGCTTTTTTGACTTATCCCCTTATGCCTTTTACCCACAGATTTTTAGCCTTCCGGTTCCTTTTACTAACTCGGTATGGGGCTATAAAATTATGTAGTAATTAAATAGGTGTTGCGTCGCCGACGTTATGTTGACAACGCTTTGTTGCTATGGTATTTTTGGTAAAACAAACATAACAGTTGTTATAAGCTGTCAGAATGTTTATCATAAATTTGAAATTCTTCCTACGTTTTGAAAATGAGTTCTAGCGAAGAAGACATGCCGCAAGATCTTGCCGAAGAGGAAAGAATAGTTGCAATTAATTTCCTTCCTTAAAAATCTAAAGAGCGATATGAAAATAAATATAGTTTGTTCAAAGAATGATTGGACAAGCGCGGAGTAAATATTTTTCCTACAAAATCAAATAGGGCTAGACAAGGTCCAAAACTCTTGCTAATGTAGAATTGTTTAAAAAAGAGGGAGGAAAAAAATTAAGTTTTTCAGCAGAAAAATAAATATCATTGCATATCTGTCGAGATGTTGAGAAAATCATTTTTTACCATTAATTAATCAACCAATTTTTTTTATTTCATTTTTTAGCAAGTTATTGTTAAATGAATTTTTTTTAACTGTTTGAAGTTATTCTTGAACCGATAAATCAATTTTGATGAAACTTTCCCATAAGGTAAATTGTTCTAAAATTTCAAAAAATTATAATAATTTATGAAATTTTTATAAACAATTAATTTTTTCGTGTTCCGACAAAAAATGTGACTCACAACAAAGCTTTAAAGAATTTAAATCCGTGACGGATTATTCATCAAGAAATCTGAGCGACAATTACCTTAGTAGAGCCAGATTATTTTCTAAAGGTGCACCTTGGTTGACCTTGGGTGAGTGGAATCAAATCAATTAAATTCGTCTATTCGTGCCATAAAGTAGTATATAGTAATATGGATGACTTTCTGCCAAAGTATCGCAAGCAATATAACTGAAACTTCGGGAATCAGGGCCGGCTCCAGGGTACGTGCAGCAACGAGGCGGCAAAATTCGAAGGGCGGCAAAAATCGAAAGGTGGCAAAAAGTTATTCAATACGATACGATATAGGTTCGAAATCAGATATTTCCAATTTAATTTTAATTTAAACAGATTTTTCTTATTTTTACTACTGGTCAGTTTTATAATGTTAGATAAAATAATTATTATTAGAATATATTACTGTTTTTTTTAGAATGCGATGATATTTTATTTATTTGTTATTAAATAATAATTTTTTAAACTTTTTTGTTAATTTTATCTTCCCCTTAATGCTACAACTGGATAACTCGAAATTTTACGAATCCAGTTCTACTAAATACTTACATACCAATTTTAGAATATTTTATTTACAAATGTGTTTTTTCAGATATCCTTAGCATTAAGGGGACGATATTATTTAAGTAGTTTTTTTTTAGAAATTGTACCTAATTAATGGGCACTAAAAAGTAGGTAACTATGAGGGGCGGCAAAAATATTTTTGCACGGGGTACCAAAATGTCTGGAGCCGGGCCTGTCGGGAATTGAAAACAATTTTTGTTTTAAAGTCTGTTTTAAATTAAATATAGTCTAAAGGTTTTATAACAAGTAAATAGCTATATCTATTTACTTGTTATAAACCCTACAGATTATATATGGTTTAAAACAGACTTTAAAACAAAAAATGTTTTTAATTCCCGAAATTTGAGTTATGTTGCTAGCGATAGTTTGGCGCAAATTCATCGATATAATAATATTACTCGCCGCACTTAAAACATTGTGATTATTTTCAAAATTGATCATTGCCACTGTTCGTTTTTTATGTGATAAAGAGTTTAATTTTCAATGTTCAAAGCTTAAAATACTATTTTATTATTTAAAAAATTATCGGCAGACGCCTTGTTCCCATTAGGAATTAATTAAATTTTGTAAATATAAAGTTTTTATTGTAATAAATAATATTCTAAAATATGAAAGTAAACTAACGTCTCTAAGCATACAAAATTATTTATTTAAGTTAAAAATGGGGTGTTAAGTCCCTGTCCCCCTCTGAATAGTAATAATAATAATAATATTTTTATATTTTTAATACACTGCCCGTCAAAATTAACGCATAATAAGTAAACAAATTCTAACTCTAAAACGCCTTTACCAATCTTTATGAAATTTTGTATAAAAATACTTCAACTTATATCTCAGTTTACGTGTTCGAGGGTTTTTCGAGAATATTTTTTTAAAGCCCTTTTATTTAAAAATAAAAAAACGTTCAAAAAATAACTTTTAGGGAATTTTTTTAACTATATAAAAAATATGCTGTTAAAGGCTGTATTTTTGTTAGTATAAAATTTTGTAAAAATCAAACTAACAGTAACGAAGATACAGTGCTTCAGAGTCGGTAAAAATGACCCCTTTTTGATTATATTGCTGAAAAATGGTAATTTTTGACGACTTTGAAGCGCTGTATTTTCGTTATTGTTCGTTTGATTTTTACAAAATTTTCAGGCTATACTAACAAAAATACGGTCTTTCACAATATAGTTTTTATTTACTAAAAAAAATTTCTCAATAAAAACTTTTTTTTCGAGCGTATTTTATTATTAAATAAAAGGGCTTTAAGAATATTTTTTCGAAATACCCTTGAACATGTAAACGTATAACAAAACGTATAAGTTGAAGTATTTTTATACAAAATTTCATAAAGATTGGTAATTAAAATTAAAGGCGTTTTAGAGTTAGATTTTTTTTACTTATTATGCGTTAATTTTGACGTGCAGTGTATTATTATCAATAAAATCAAAACCCCTTGACCATGTATTAATGAGGAATTAAAATTGAGATGTGGCAACAGTGCATGTATTCGTTACTTGTTCGGTAATGTTCGTAAATCGTCTGCTGGATTTTTGTCTGCCAAGCTTAAATCGGTCTACAGGAAGGTAAAGTTACATTGGCTTAAAAAATTTATACATATATAACTTTTACTTGCATTTTATAATTAAATGCAAAAACATTTTTTTTATGAACTTAATAAAAAAAAAACATTTTTCATGGAGTTCCATCTTTTTGACAAGCACTGTAGGTATATTAATAAAAATTATTTAAGCTGGAAACTACGAAGGCGTAGAAGGGCCAACAACAATATTTTTTTTTTTAATAAAATTTTTAATCGACAATTGTCGATCGGTTCGACAATTGTCGATCGGACCGACAATTGTCGATCGGACCGACAATTGTCGATCGGACCGACAATTGTCGATCGGACCGACAATTGTCGATCGGACCGACAATTGTCGATCGGACCGACAATTGTCGATCGGATCGACAATTGTCGATCGAATCGACAATTGTCGATCCGATCGACAATTGTATAAATACAGAGTGTTTTTCATTCGTGGTCCATTAGAAGTTTTTGGGAAACAAAAAAGATATTGAATATTTTTCGAATTATTATTTTTTTTCGTTAAAACTTAAGAAATGCGCGTCAATCAAAAATAGCCTATAACTTTTTTGTTATGAGGTTTGCAAATATAGGGTTGGAATTTTTGGCATATTAAAAAAATTAGGCCAAATTGAAGGTTAATAACTTTTTTTATTTAAAATGTAACACTTTGTATGTTTTTACATATTCAAATAGTAAATTAAAAAACCTTTTGATTGATGTTACTATTCCCTATACCTAAAGTTAATAATTTCAGAGATATTTAACAATTTCTAAAATTTTACATATTATTTTGTATCACGAAACCTGTGACGGGTGAGTTGACGGTTTCTATCCGAGACTGGTTTCTATGGTTACCACGTAATTTGTAAAATTTAATCGCGTCAATTTTTCAGGTTGTTATAAACAATTTGTTAACTAAGTGTTTAAAAATTAATAATTCGAAAAATTTTAAAATAATATTAGATAATAATATTTAAGTTGATCTGGTTTAACCGGAAGTGGCATTTTGTTCAAATTATTATAGAAAAATAGACTTAAATGGATTATAAACGCTTTTAAAATTTCAAATCGATATCTTTTTTCGTTTCCCAGAAACTTCTAATGGGCCACGAATGTGAAACACCCTGTATATATACAATTGTCGATCGGATCGACAATTGTCGATTCGATCGACAATTGTCGATCCGATCGACAATTGTCGATCCGATCGACAATTGTCGGTCCGATCGACAATTGTCGATCCGATCGACAATTGTCGGTCCGATTGACAATTGTCGAACCGATCGACAATTGTCGATTAAAAATTTTATTAAAAAAAAAATATTGTTGTTGGCCCTTCTACGCCTTCGTAGGAAACATAAAATTTGGCAAATACATGTATTGAGTTTATTAGTAACTTAAATTTTGCCAAATATTAAATATAGCATAGCATAGCATCCTAAACTACGCATATGAAACAGTATTGAACGTATACTTTTTTGAAATTTGATTTTTTTTGAATTTTTTATGTTTTTGCCTAAACTAAAATAAGACTTTATTTATTTATTTATTATTTATTTATTTATTTTTCTGGGGCTGCATTTAGGTACCGTAGACTGCTTTTTACAATGATAAGAAAATGTTTACTCTTGCTTTTGTAGAAGTTTTGTTATAAGGCCTGTGAATGTGTATAATTTATTTTTTTGTTACACAAATCTTCATTACCAATGATCCTTGGTTAAAATATTTGATAAAAAAAATATTTAGTATATATTTATATACGAATTTTAATGTTTGCATGTTTATATTTTTTTGCAATGTCTTGAAAACTAGAGCTAATTGAGAAAATGATGGTCAATTTTGGAATCAGCGCACACAAATTACCCTAGAAAAGTTATTGGCAATCATGTGGCAAAATTGCTGTCGACCACTGTTGCTTTAAACAATTTGTGTGTTTATGGTTTTTTGTTTATTAAACTTTTTTATTAATGTTTTTACGACCTTATTTGCAACAAAATGCTTTAATTCTATATTTGTAACACGAAATTAAATTAAATAATTATATAAATGAAATATTTATCGTATTTCTCAAAAATTAAACCATTCAAAACTATTTTGTTTAGTACTGTTAAATAGCAATTTTTAAGAGCTTTTTAATGAAGTGTCAGAAAGGGGATGTTGCCCAGGGGTTGCTTAGTGAAGGTTTTAAGAAATTATTGATACCAAAATTATAGAGCATTGCTAGTTTTTAAATGTATATAATTGATTGTCTACGTATTTCTTTAATATTTATTGCTAAATTATTCGTAATAGTTTTTAGTCAATATAAACACTTATACCTAATTATAATAGCAATAACTAATTATTATGCTAAAACAACAAAGTACCCGCCAGAAACTGATTGTTTAAATAAAAATTCAACAAAAGTGAGATTGGACAAAGTGAAAAAATTCTTCTTGCCTTACAATGTACATAAAACTTTATTTGACGTAAATACAACATTTTGCCAAGGCGGTTAGGTACAACGTTATTACAGCAAATTCCTTTGATTACTTATCAATGTTGTTTTTTGGGATTAATCAACCATGAGATGCAGATAGTATTAGAAATTCTGATTCAGAATTTACTATTATTTTTGTAGTCCTTTTAAAGTACTACTTTGTATTAAACTTATCACAATTTACTTAATTAAAGAAATATTTATATAATCTATATGTTCCAAAAGGTAATTGATTAATTTAATAATAAAGCAAATTAAAATTATTATTAATCTTACTTGTCTTCTTGCCACTCGTAGAAATTTATTGGTCCTTTGGTGGACGAAGCACTAAAATTAGGGATGATATCGCCAAGTCTCAAAGAAGGCATCTTGCAAAATGTGACTTTAAAATTTTATAATAATAAACTGTGTATGTACTTCTGTAAACTGTTTATATGTATACTTTGAATCCTCATCAGACACCACTTAAATGCCCCCCTACTAAAAATTTTAAGAGGGGACTACAAAAATACAAGGTTAAATAATTATTGAACATAAATGTTTTATCAAAGTATTCCAATAACAAATAAATACAATAAATAAAAAGACTTCAAAAAGACAAACATTAATTTATAACTATACAAAGAGTTTGTGCTTTATTATTTTGTACGTATAGGAGCCTATTAGGAGGTTGAGACATGAAATTAAATAAATAAATAATATTATTATTTAATTGTTTATACTTTAATTTATTAAATTAAACCAACAAGGCCGTGAACTCATACGAATTGTTTCTGCCCGCACCTTTCCGCTATTCGTTGTCTGCGCCGCATACTGAGTCTGCTTTGGGGGTTATTATCATAGGTTATATTAATAGCAAATTAGAAATTATTATTAGCGTTACAATTATTTCAAATGACGCCTTTATCTTAAAATATAAACCTTTTAAAAGATGTTGTAGAACGGTAAATGTCTAAAACCAGAACAAATTTTAAAATTTTCCTCTACATAAAAGGATATACATTAAGGTGGTCCATCTTTTGAGAATTTTTGAATTTTCTTGCTCTTAGTTGCTAATAGTGTTTAAAATAAATAAAACAAAATATTTTCCAAGTTTTAAGTCCCTATCTCAATATTAACCCTTGCCACGTTGCAGTGTAAGTTTCCTATATAAATAACAGGGTTTTTGGCATTGAATAATTAAAAATTTTAAACTTGTCAGAATTTAACCTTGTAATAGTATTCCTAAGAATTTTTACAGATTTTTAGCTATAATTATTTTAGAGGTTTAGCTAGATGATTTTTTTTAAATATAAGAAAATCATTTAAAAGCTACTATTATAACTTATTTTATTTTTTCAAACACTTACTGTGACCTGATTGAAAAATTAATTACCTATTCAAAAAATGGGTTGATATTAAGATATATAAGAATATAATCTCGCAGCGTATAATAAATTTGAAACTTGACAGAATTGAACTTCATAATTTATAAGGTTCAATTCTGCCAAGTTTCAAATATTTTTGTACGCTGCGAGATTATATTGCCAAATTTTTTCCAACATGAAAGATCATAATAGTATTAAATATTCGTATAAACGTTGCCATCTTAAAATATGGTTGGAAGATTAAAATTTCCGAATTCAAAAAAGGTCCTTATTTAAAAAAATTGTTTTATACTCCCAGGGGTTTAAAGGGTTCAAAATAAATAAAAAAATCCTATCTTAGTCCCATGCCGCAATACAATGTTAGTTTCCTATCTGGATCGTAGGTTTTGAATAGGTAATTAATTTTTTAAACAGGTCACAGTAAGTGTTTAAAAAAAATTTAAACTTGACAGAATTTAACCTTATAATAGTAGCTTTTCATAGAATTTTGTACAGATTTTCAGTAATAATAATTATGTTCAGCTAAATGATTTTCTTAAATTTAAATAAATCATCTATCTAAAACTCTAAAATTAAATACTAAAAGTCTGTTAAAATTCTCAGGAATAGCTACTATTATAAGGTTAAATTCTGACAAGTTTAAAATTTTTCAGACAGTTACTTTGGCCGGAAAAATAATTAATTATTCAATGCCGAAAACCCTAACTATGTTATTTATATAGGAAACTTACACTGCAACGCGGCGCGAGTTAATATTGAGATAGGGACTTAAAAATATTTTTTTTATTTATTTTGAACACTATGAGCCCCTGAGAGCAAGAAAATCCAAAAATTCTCAAAATATGAACCACCCTAGTATACATATATTATTTATTAAATGATAATCTAAACATTTTTTTTGTTTTCCCAAAATAGACTTTGGGCGTGATACCTAGAAATTTTTTTGCCAGCCGCTTTTCCCGTATAAGGGCCCCTACCAGATTTTCGATACGGGGCCCCCTCGAGGCTAGCTACGCCACTGATATTTATATATACGCATCTTGTTTTTGACATTAATATTTATTAATAATCAGTTATTATACATGGGACCTACATCAAATTTATATGAGTTTATAATGACATTATATAGACAAGTTCTGCGCAAGCAGAATTTAAATTAAAGTTTGCGAAAAAAAGTTAGTTTTTAAGTGTGCCCCCCAGCCTCCTGCCCCCCAAAATTAAGATAATTCAAATTAAAGTGGTACAATATTTAATTCACTGAAGTTTATCGACAAATTTCAAATTTTATTAAAAAATTTCAAGAATTACAGGTTTTATAGTTTTACTAAATTAAAAAAAAATAGAAATGGTATAAAATCTGTAATACTTTATTTTTTTTAATATATATATACACATCTTGTTTTTGACATTAATATTTATTAATAATCAGTGGCGGCTGGTGGATTGTGGGCACACCCATATCTCAGTTATTATACATGGGACCCACATCAAATTTATATGATTTTATAATGACATTATATAGACAAGTTCTGCGCAAGCAGAATTTAAATTAAAGTTTGCGAAAAAAAGTTAGTTTTTAAGTGTGCCCCCCAGCCTCCTGCCCCCCCAAATTAATATAATTCAAATTAAAGTGGTACAATATTTAATTCACTGAAGTTTATCGACAAATTTCAAATTTTATTAAAAAAATTTAAGTATTGCAGATTTTATACCTACTATTTCTATTTTTTTTTTAAATTTAGTAAAAGAAATAATAAAAATTTAAAATGGTATTAAACCTGAAATACTTTAATTTTTTTAATAAAATTTGAAATTTGTCGATAAACTTCGGTGAATTAAATATTGTACAACTTTAATTTGAATTATCTTAATTTGGGGGGGCAGGAGGCTGGGGGGGCACACTTAAAAACTAACTTTTTTCGTAGCGAAGAACTATTAATGTCAATTTTTGAAGATATTTCATTAATATTTTTCATCATGATTTGGACTGGAGATTTCAACAAAACGGGCATTATCTTCCCTAAAAGTTAATTTAGTCCTAGAGTTTAAACGGAGAATATACAGATTAAACAATTTATTAAATAATAAATAAACATAGATAATAAACAAGTCATACACAAATTCAAGTGAGTCCATTGAAAAGGCCCGAAGTAATTCAGCCTGAGAATAACTTCTGATAGGATAAAAACCATTACCTAATTCTAAAGTTTAAAAATTTCAGGAATCGTCTTTGAATATTTTCCAATAAAACTTTGTAGGTTGTGTAAACAAGAGATTTGGTTTATCGAATTATAATGTTTTCCTTTCACCTTTTAAATTTTTATTCTGTGTTGGGTTACTTATGTTAAGTATACGAGCGAAGCTTACAAGCGAGTGTTTAATAAAAACGAGAGGTTTATAAAACGAGTTGCATACTGTAGGTACTTAATCTACGACTAACACAAAGAAGAAATTAAAACCATTTTATTTGTTAAAAATTTGACATCTGTTAATTTCCAACAGATTTAACCTCGCTTTTTCCCAATTTATATTAAGGATAACTTTAGCCCGTGACTAAAATGCGCAAAAACCACTGTTGCTAACTCCAGCCTGTGACTAAAACGCTATAAAGTCACAGCTTATCAATGGGGGTATAGATAAAAATTTTTTTTCCTCTCACTTTTAAATCGCCCATTATCGTACATATTTCAATGTAGTTGGCCCAGGCTGCTTGTCCCAATTGATAAATATTAACATTATCATATCCACATTGACATTATTAAAAATATTCATGTTTTTAATCTTTAAAATAGCTTTACATAACCTAACAAAAACAAACTGTAACTAGCAACGATTGGGAAACACCCGATCGTAAATATTTACGATTCTATTAGATTTTCTGTAAGCTACAGGAAGCGCAGAATTGCAAATTGTCTATAAGCTTATAGAAAGTTACAGATTTGCTTATAGATGCTTACAGATGTGCGCAGAATTGACCTATTACACCGCACAAAATAAAAAACAATAATAAAGCATCGATGCAAGGTCAACTGTTACGGCGCATGCTAGCCTACTCGTCCACGCGTCCAAATCATTTCTACAACGTTTTTCGCTTCGTGCTGACTAAGACTTATCTGGTCCAGTTACATTAATGTATTTTCCCTATGGTTAGCTTGCAAATGAAGGTACGGTATATATAAGTATATAGGTTATAACCTATATTAAATCATGTAATTTTACTAACCATATGCAAATTTCCAAAATGATATGCTCGATGATATGTGATATTACAAATTTTATTATTTGTGCACTGAAAAAAAATATTCTTGATTCAAAACAATCTTTGCTCATATATAACGAAGAGAATATATTCTTTAAAATAGTAAAGTATTTTCTTAATACACGTTGATTTACTTTAAGAATCTTTTCTTAATGTAAGAACAAGAGAATATATTCTTTAAAATAGTAAAGTATTTTCTTAATACACGTTGATTTACTTTAAGAATCTTTTCTTAATGTAAGAACATTAAGAAAATATTCTTGAAGTAAATCAACGTGAATTAAGAAAATACTTTACTATTTTAAAGAATATATTCTCTTCGTTATATATGAGACAAAGATTGTTTTGAATCAAGAATATTTTTTTTCAGTGTGTATTTCCCATATTTTACATGCAGCTTTATGTAAAATTTTGTAAATTTGCCCTAAAATTATAAGTATTTTTACTTAAATTTACATAGAGGTTTATGTAATATATTTTTAAATTAGTTTAATATTATGCTATTTTACAATCTTGTTTAGGTAATATATTTTAAAATTTTAAACTATTTTATTTATTATTTCATGTAAAATTACTTACATAATAATGTAATATATTCAGGTTAATACATGAATACTTACCAGAATCTGATTACCCTCCTCACATTGAAAAAAATGTTTTGATTGAATGGCTGGTATATTTTTTAGTGATTCCACCTATCATCTAACATGGTTTTTCCTTCTTCAATTTGTTTTTGGGATACAAATATAAAAGAAATTTTTGGAGAAAGGCGACGAGCCAGATCATAAAATTCTTCAGCGTTATTAATAATTGCTTTCCGAGCTTTAACAGCAGTTCACACTGATCTTTTCACACTTCCTCCGAG